CTGCTATTGGTTGCTCCCTTGCCCACATCTCCATGACTTTGCTCTGAAAATGAAAGAAATGTTGCAAATAAAGTACTGTTTTCTCTTTCTCTTGCATTTCGTTATTTGTTTACTGCACATATGTATATCCTGGCTTTCCATCAATGAGCTTGGGGCAGCACTTGTGGCTGTCCTTTTCCACACAATAGCCTAGGGACGTGGTGGCGCTGCGGGCTAAACTGCAGAAGCCTGTGCTGCAGGGTCAGACGACCAGCAGTCGTAAGATCAAATCCACGGGACAGAGTGAGCTCCCGTTGCTTGTCCCAGCTCCCGCCAATCTCCTTTTCCACACAATAGCCTTGTGATATCTCAGTCCAACATAGTTTGTGTGACTGGTTCAAACTCAACTCCGTGAGTTTCACAGTTGAGAGGGCATTTGAACTCTGATTCTTGAGTTCTATCTCAACACCAAACCACAATTGCTTCCTAGGAAGCAGCATCATTAAGCTGCGGGAGCTCATAGACTAGGATGTGGGCACGCACACCCCTACCCCAGTCCATGTCATCAACTAAGGCTTTTCTTGTAACTGAAGTATTTGGATTTTCCACAATTTACTGCAAGCTGCTATTAAGGCAATACATCGGCCTTTTAAGTGTTCCATATTTTCAAATGAATTGGAACATGTTGTAATTCTGATGGGAACAAATGTTACTTCTGCCCTTCTCTGATACTGAATAAGAGTGTCAAGGAAGTATTGGGGTGCACTGGGCAAAGCAAGGGTACAACCAGCCTCCAAGGTCCTCACAGAGAAGAAAAACATAAGCCAACAGCTTCTTCCTTAAAGCTTATATTACATATGTACAGTACAGTCTTTATACTCCTGCAGCACGTCCTCTAGCAAGTCTCCAAACTCTCGACACTATATGTGTGTTCCTCCATACAACATATAGTGCATATGACCAATCAGGTAACATTGCCTCATCTAAGGTGATCTCATATTAATTACATCAGCCTTCTGCCTAGTCAGCATGACTCAGCTTTATGCACAGCTTTACAATATGGCTGATTAACAACTTCTTTTATACATTCAGTCTAAGATGTTAATTTCTCCTATTACAATCCTCGTAATTTCCTAATATCCCCTCCAAATATACATCTGTCCTGAATGTAGTCCCAATTGTTCCATGAATGCTTTGTGCTTCTGTATGCTCAGTGAATATATCCACTAAATTGTTTTCACTCTCACAATATTTTAACATAATTAATTTCTGCTTTACAGCTTCTCTTACATTACAAAATTTAATGTCAATGTTCTTTGTCCTGCACCTCATTCTCTCTGTTGTAGTCCTTCCAGTGACCATTCAGGATTGATTTCCTTCAAAATGGATAGGGTTGTTCTCCTTGTAGTCCAGGGGACTCTCAAGAGTCTCCTCTAGCACCACAACTCAAAAGCATCAATTCTTCGGTGGTTAGCCCTCTCACTTCCATACATCGCTACTGGGAAAACCATAGCTTTGACTATGCGGACCTTTGTTGGCAAGGTGGTCTCTCTGCTTTTTAAGATGCTATCTAGGTTTCTCATCACTTACCTCCCAAGAAGCATGTGAGTTTTAATTTCGTGGCTGCTGTCACCATCTGCAGTGCTCATGGAGCCCAACGAAGTAAAGTCTGTCACTGCCTCCATATCTTCCCCTTCTATTTGCCAGGAGGTGATGGGACCAGTGGCCATGATCTTAGTTTTTTTGATGTTGAGCTTCAGACTATTTTTTGTGCTCTCCTCTTTCACCCTCATTAAGAGGATCCTTAATTCCTCCTCACTTTCTCTCATCAGAGTGGTATCATCTGCGTATCGGCGGTTGTTGATATTTCCTTCAGCAATATTAATTCCAGATTGGGGTTCCTCCAGTCCTGCCTTTCACATGATGTAAATAATTACATTACCATTATTATACTCATATAGCATTATTATATGAGTAAATAATAACATTTGCATTCCTATATGACTTGATAGGGATTATTGAAAGTCAGTGGGATGACTCCTATGACTGGAATACAGCAATTGAAGTATATAAATTGTTCAAAAAGAACAGCAATAATATAAAGGGAAATGGAGTTGCAGTATATGTCAAAAATATCCATCTCTGCACAGAAGTACAGGAGGAGGAGATTGACTGTCTCATTGAGAGCATCTGGATCAATCTAAGTGGGGCAAAACCAAAAGGAACATGGTATTTAGAGTTTATTGCTGACCACCCAATCAAGGAGAGGAGGCAGATGAAACTTTTGAAAAACAAATTGCAAGGATTTCAAAGAGACACAATGTAGAAGTAAAGGGAGATTTCAATTATCCGTATATGTATTGGGAGGCAAATTCTGCCAAATATGGCCCTTCCAAAAAATTCCTGGCTTGTGTGGCTGATAATTTTCTCCCACAAAAAGTGGAGAAAGAAACTAGAAGACTAGATATCCTTGACTTGTATTCCTCTACTGTATTCCTGCATTGAGCAGGGGATTGCACTTGATGGCCTTGTAAGCCACTTCCAACTTCACTTTTCTATTATTCTATGACTTGATTCTAACCAATAGAGAAGACTTTGTGGAGAAAATGGCAGTAAGGGGAAACTCTGTGTGAAAGTAAACATGCTTCATTAGAATTCTTGATTTCAAAGGAAACCAGACAGAGTGTAGTCATACATATGTGCTGCGTTTTTAAAAAGCCAATTCTAATAAACTCAGAACAAAGATAAGTAAGGTCCCATGGCAGGAAATTCTAATGAGAAAAGGACTCCAAGAAGGGTGGGAGTTTCTTAAAAAGGAAATTCTAAAGACAGAACTACAAACAATTCCAACAAGAAAAGGTGTAGGGCAGCAAAAAAAAAAAAAAGTCCTATGTGGCTTCAGAAAGCTCAGAGAGGACCTGAAAATAAAAAAGGGTATGTATAGGAAATGAAAAGAAGGCCAGGCAAAGAAGGAATGAGACAAGGACTCCAAGAAGGGTGGGAGTTTCTAAAAAAGGAAATTCTAAAGACAGAACTACAAACAATTCCAACAAGAAAAGGTGTAGGGCAGCAAAAAAAAAAAAAAGTCCTATGTGGCTTCAGAAAGCTCAGAGAGGACCTGAAAATAAAAAAGGGTATGTATAGGAAATGAAAAGAAGGCCAGGCAAAGAAGGAAGAGTATAGAAAAGTAGCAGTGGATTGCAAGGAGGGCATTAAGAAGGCAAAAAGCTGAGAATGAGCTGAGGTTAGCTAGAGATACTAAAAGCAACAACAACAAAAATATCATCATTCAGGTATGTGTGAATCAAAAGACAAAGAAAGTAAACAGTTATTCAGCTATTGACAAAGAAAAGGCAGAAATGTTCAATTTGTATTTTACCTCAGTCTTTTCCCAGAGGACAGACGATAACCTTCCAGACAAATGTGAAGTACAAATGGAGAGGATAAGATTGCAGCTGGAGATTGATTTTAAAAAAATAGTCGAGGAATACCTTATTATCTTGAATAAATTCAAATCTCCAGGTCTGTACTATGAGTCAAAGCTAGTACAACCAGTGTGGTGTAGTGGACAAAATGGGAGTCTGGAAACCCAGGTTTAAATCCCTGCTTTGCTGTGGAAACGCACTTGGGCATGGTGTGCCTTAAGCTACTCCTTAAATATCTCTCATAGTTTGAAAGCCCTGTTAGGTTTGCTCTAAATTGAATGTGACTTGTTGACATATAACAAAAACAAAGCTAACAGGTGTGTTTCAAATATTTCTCTTTACCCTTTCTACTTGGATTTTTAAAGTGCAAAGAAATATAATTAGTTTTTATAGCACATGGAAAATACTTTTTTAAAAACCTCATTGAATCTTACAGGTGAAATTATACTTCCCTCACCTGTTTTTGTTATCAATCATCAATACATTGAAAATCTACTTGTTTGCCTCTACCGGAAACAAAGAGGAACATCGTTTCAGTGTGAAGTCAAGAAATACGTGTTTATTAGAGTCTTTGAGGGTTCAGTATCATGGGTTGTAGGGGTTTTAGTAGAATAGATTTGGATGTTTTTAATGTTTAAATGTTTTAATTTCATATTTTAAATTGTTTGATTTTATATTGTTTAAAAATCTTATTTACAGCCGTTTCATACAGTTTTGCATTCTGCCCTGACAGCCTGTGATACAGGGCAGACTATAAATATTTTAAATAAATAAGTAAATATGCTCTTCCTAATCAGCCCTGTTTGTAGATTTTGCATATTTTCTAAAAACCAGAGGAACCAACGCAAATTTTTAATTAAACCATATAGGAAAAATAAAACCACTTGCACGTCATATTAAATCACTGGTAGTTCTATCCCCTCGACTGGGTTGTGCGGCACCACAAATGCCTCCTTTACCTCCAGAAAACCTGTCCTTTCTACCTTGAGAGGACTGACTGACACAGGGCGAGGAACCAGCTCCTGCTTTTTCTTCAGGCACTCTTCAGGCACTCTTCCCCTATTCGGGACGAAAAATGGTTTCACTGCATTTCCAGAAGGACTAACGAACATTAGTTTCCAGATGGAGGCTCCGGTCTCTGCAAGGGAACCAGATTCTAGTCCCGACGAATAATTTTGAGAAGACCCTCCCCTTGGAAGCAGCTCGCTTCAAGACAGCTCTTGGATTTTAAACGTGGCTCGGTTTTTGTAGAAACGAACAGACTCGGGAGAGTCCCATCGAGAATTTTCCTTCCCACACACTCTATGAACTCTTCCAAGTCCAACCGGGATTCTTCAGGAGAGCGTGCCTTGCGGATAGAAGCCGAGAGAGGGCTCCGCGACTCAAGAAACGCCTGATCCTTTGGCGGGGGTGGGTGGGAGCATCTCTCTCTGTCTCTGCCCGACTCGCCGCTGCCTCTCAACTCCCAGACGGGGCTGTTGGTCTTGTCTGAAGGACTCCGGCTTGCGGGGGGTGGGGGTGGGGGTGGCGGCGTTGTCTCAAAGGGCTCCAGCTGTTAAACGCCGGGCTCGCCCCTGGCGGCAGGGAATTGGGGGGGCGGGGGGAGAGAGAAAGGCACGAAGCAGCGAAGCAACCGGGGAGCAGGAGGACGTCGCGCCGATCTCGGAGCCCGAGGAAGCCCAGCCACCAGTCCCGCGTGGCGCATCCCTCTCGCCGCGCTGTCAGCCGGACTGGAGAAGCCACAGAGGAAGAACTGCCTCTAATCTGGGCATCGCTTGGAAGGGAATGTCTGCCTTTGTACCACACAAGCCTTGAGGTAATTGCCCGGTTCTTCTACAACTTAACGGCATGCATAAAGTTTCTGTTTGTGTGATGTGTAGATTTCCAGTGGGCGAGGTCGTTTTGAGCTCTGCTATGTTCGAAAAGGAGCTCTTAACTTAAGGAGGAATGTTTTACAGAGCTGGTTTTTCCGCCGTGACTGATTACACCCCTCACTGAGAACTGCAAATCTGAACTGAAAGGCTGATGGAGATCTAAGGATCCTTGTTTTGTCCTGTTTGACTTTTAAAATTAAGATTCTCTTACAGCTTAGTCATGAATTGAGGGTTTCTCATCTGCCTGAATGTTTTTAGCGCACTGTTTGTCCAAGAACAATGGCAAGGCACGATCCAGTCCAAACTGAGTGCTATTGGTTTGAGTTGAAGAAAGTTGCACAATACCCACCACCTTTAGAAGAAGGTGGAGCTTTGTTTACTTGTAAACTGCTGGAATTGATTACTCTGTTGTAAATAAAGGTGGTGTACTAACAAGGCCATTTGCTAGTTGGTTACAGGACTGGAGTCAGTAGGAGCTACCAAGTAGGCAGGGCAGTGTCTCCATCCAACTTTAACAGCTCTCCTCAGATTTTTTCCTCCCCCCCAAAAAAGGGGGGCTCTCTGAGTAACATTTACGAGGGTGCTGATGGAGTTTCTGAAGAAAGAACAGCCGAGGAAGTTTTACTCTGCCATCCCAGTTGCATACACTTTACAGCACAATTCTGTATGCATGTGTCATTGTTCTCGTTTAGCCATGTCCGACTCTTCGTGATCCCATGGACCAGAGCACACCAGGCCCTCCTGTCTTCCACTGCCTCCCGGAGTTGGGTCAAATTCATGTTGGTAGCTTCAGTGACACTGTCCAACGATCTCGTCCTCTGTCATCCCCTTCTCCACTTGCCTTCACACTTTCCTAACATCAGGGTCTTTTCCGAGGAGTCTTCTCTTCTCATGAGTTGGCCAAAGTACTGGAGCCTCAGCTTCAGGATCTGCCCTTCCAGTGAGCACTCAGGGTTGATTTCCTTCAAAATGGATAGGTTTGTTCTCCTTGCACTCCAGGGGACTCTCAAGAGCCTCCTCCAGCACCACAATTCAAAAGCATCAATTCTTTGGCAGTCAGCCTTCTTTATAGTACAGCTCTCACTTCCATACATTGCTATTGGAAAAACCATACTGTAGTTTTGACTATGCGGACCTTTGTTGTCGGCAAGGTGATGTCTCTGCTTTTTAAGATGCTGTTGAGGTTTCTCATCGCTTCCCTCCCAAGAAGCAGATGTCTTTTAATTTCGTGGCTGCTGGCCCCATCTGCAGTGATCATGGAGCCCAAGAAAGTAAAATCTGTCACTGCCTCCATGTCTTCCCCTTCTATTTGCCAGGAGGTGATGGGACCCATGGCCATGATCTTAGTTTTTTTGATGTTGAGCTTCAGACTATTTTTTGCACTGTCCTCTTTCACCCTCATTAAGAGGTTCTTTAATTCCTCCTCACTTTCTGCCATCAGAGTGCTATCATCTGCATATTGGAGGTTGTTGACATTTCTTCCCACAATTTTAATTCCAGTTTGGGATTCCTTCAGTCCAGCCTTTTGCATGAGGTATTCTGCATATAAGTTAAATAAGCAGGGAGACAATATACAGTCTTGTCGTACTCCTTTCCCAATTTTGAACCAATCAGTTGTTCCATATCTAGTTCTAGCTGTTGCTTCTTGTCCCACGTATAGTTTTCTCAGGAGATACGTAGATAAGGTGGTCAGGCACTCCCATTTCTTTAAGGACTTGCCATAGTTTGCTGTGGTCCACACAGTCAAAGGCTTTTGCGTAGTCAATGAAGCAGAAGTAGATGTTTTTCTGGAACTCTCTGGTTTTCTCCATAATCCAGCGCATGTTAGCAATTTGTGTGCATTTAGTCAGTAGTAAATCACAGTTCCAGACAGAAGTAAGACAACACCACTTATTCCCAGATAAGTGAATATAATATTGTAACCTTAAAATACAAAAACACATTTTGATCACACCAGCACTTCTCTGACCTTCTGAATATAAAATCCTTTTCTTTAATACAAAATATCCAAAAATTAAAAATAGCTGTGCATAACTCAGATGTCTCCAGCACGAAGAAAAGTGAAAAAAGGATACTATTTTTCTTACTTTGTGTGTTTCTTTCTATTTACTGTGTTGATTTGTCAGAAATTTATGCGTATAATTTTTTAAAGTTGAAGACTCCAGCTCTAGACTTTGGCAGCAGGATGATCCGTGGCTCTGAACTGAGCTCCACAACAGCGTTGTCATATAAGCCTTATGAGGAAAGGCTGAAAGAACTGGGCATGATTAGCCTTGAGAAAAGAAGGCTGAGAGGAGATATGATAGCATTTTTCAAATATTTGAAAGGCTGTCATACAGAGGAGGGGCAAGATCTGTTCTCGATCATCCCACAGTGCAGGACAGGCAACAATGGGCTGAAGTTATAGGAAGCCTGATTTTGGTTGAATATCAGGAAAATTTCTAGAGCAGTATAGCTGTGGAACCAATTACCTCGAAAGGTGGTGAGTGCTCCAACACTGGAGGCATTCAAGAGAAACTTAAGACAACCACATGGCAGATCTCTTTTGGTTTGTATCCCCGCATCAAGTAGACTCAACAGCATATGGCATACACAAGTGTATGAAAAGCTAGTTTGCCTTTGCTTTGCAAAGCCCTTGAATATTTATGGTCCCACAGTACTGTAAAGATGCTGTACGATATGGTGGACACACTTTCTAGGACTCAGGAGATTTGGCGTCATATCTCTGCATGACCATGAAAACTCAGAGGGGTTGCAATGGTAAACCATTCCTTGAAACCTTGAAAGCTCTATTAGGGTTGGCATAAGTTGAAAGCAACTTGATGGCACATAAGAGCATCAACAACAGTATTGTAAAATACTGCACCTGCACTTGTGAGTATGCCAATGCACTGACAGATGTGTTCCCACTATTGGGATGTGGTAATGCTTTCTAAATATTTAAATATCTGTCCTAAACCAAGTAATGTTTTCCCTGGCTACTGGAGGCGAGGCAAAAACCTCTCCAAGAAATGTCACCCATATTTGCTCTCAGGTGAAATAGGGTTCAAAAGAAGTCCCAAGCTTACAATGCTGCATGTCTTCCCCCAGACCATTTGTCTGCCTTGCTGCCTTCCCCTCTGTGGTGCCTAAAAGTGCCCCCTCCCCCCGTAGAAATATAGACTGTAAGCAGGAGGGCTGTTTTCGACGTACTATACTCTTCCACAAGGTAGCAACTAGAGCCCCAAAGTACCTGCGGATGCAGGACCACAAAATATAGTCAGTAATCAGCCCATCTCAAAAAGGACAATAGAATTTTTCCCCCAAGAAAAGATTTTACAAAAGGTCTACTTAATATGACACAAAATGGTTTACAATTCTGAATACAATGAGGTGAAATGATCTTATGGAACCAGCCCTGCCCTTTTTACCTTCCTTTTTTATTTAAGATAATCACCTGCTCTCAATAAAACACTCTTGATCAATACCAGTTAAGATTAACAATAACCTGATCCAGTGATGCTGTATTTTATCATGAATGTCAATTTATCTTGAATGTATTTTATCATGAATGTTAATTCTTTAAGACTGCTCACAGCCTCAAAGCAAGACTGCTTAAGCTGATGAACATTTCTGTTGATTCCTTCTTTAGGTGTCTCTGCTCCATACAGCCTTTAATAAAACTATAGAAATACACTTACAATGTCACTCTAAATTTTAACCTAGATATAAACATTCACTTAATCATCATCCATCATATTAGAACATCAGAAGTGGGAGGGGCCCTATGGATTATTGAATCCAGTCTCTGTCAGGGACACACAGTGGAGAATTGGCGCCAGATACCTAAGCCATTGAGCTGTCCAGCAGTGAGGGGATCATATTGACCCCTGCACAAAATTTATTCAGTGAAAGCTTCTTGCTTTCTATTCCAAAAATGTATATCTCACAAATTCCAAAAACCTATCTTCTTCTAAAGTTTATTTGAGGTGATTCTCCCCCCCATAAAGCTTCTAACTATTACAGGAGCATGCTATTTATTTAACTTATCCAATTCTCTTGCTTCTGAAAGAATTCTCCAGTTTCCTAGATCTACACCTGAAGGGAGACATAATACCATGCATGCTATTATAGATACTTTCCATGCTTTGTAAGCTTGTTTATTCCTGGCGTGATGTGATTCTGGTATTGTTCTGGAAGTATTATTCTAATCTAAATCCTTTTAATGTCAAACCACTAATATTTTTAACTTCTAGAACTGAGTATTGTTTATCTTGCTTGGAATACTCCTAATAGAAAAGACACACCTCTAGTGTAGAAAATGAATGATCTGTTATTGTGTAAGTGTTACCAACTGCAGACTGTTGAATTTTTGAAAAACGTTGTTGTTATTTTGTTCCATGAAAAGATTTCCACTTCATGGCGACCCTGGGAATTAATGATTATTAAAATAATATATTTTATAAAACATAAACATTTAGGGCTGAGTCAATAATTATACTCAAACTGCAAATGTATAAGGCAAGCACAATCCCTCTGAACACAGTGGTATCTCTGTTTGTTTGTCTTAATCCATTCCATGACCAACACAAGACACTAGTTTGAACTATGATTTTTTGTTGGATTTAGATGAGAGATACAGCTGGCTGTCATTGGCATGCTGGTGGCACTGAATCCCTTGGACTTCAGACAACCTTTCTGAATAATTTTGTGCCTGAGTCAGATAGTGTCAAAATGGAACCCTTAGAGACCCCACGGGACAATGGCCATATCATGAAATAGAAGTTCCTCAATCTCACTTTACAAAAATACAGACTTGAGCTATCATAAAGCAGTGTCCCTAGGTCCCATCCCAGCAAGATAGGCCAGAAGGGTATTGTGGCTGGTAGTGCAGGAAGCGATGAGGTCTCTAGATAAGCCAGCTGTGACGTTCACCTCTATGAAGCACCTACTTTTTGTGCCCTCATAAAAGTTCCAGTCTTTGTTCCATTCACTGCCACCAGTGGATTACCTCTATCCACAATATAAAAGACTTTTGTCCAAACACTTGTCTGGTAAATGCAAACAAAACTTATTTATTGAAGTGTAGCAAAGTTAATAATCACATCGGTTCTTCAGATGTACATACTATATTCTTGTAGGTTCTTCAGATGTACATACTATATTCTTGCCATATAAGTAATTTCCACCTTCTCTATTTATTTTAACCAGTCTCTAACTCAATCTCTTTCTCTTCTGACTCTATGACACTTGACTAACTCTCTCTCACCAACTCACTCTGACTGACTCCTCCTCTCCCAGTCCGCCTTTTAACCTCTCTCTTGGCTCCGCTTCCTCCTCTCAGAGTCTGCCTTTTAACCTCTCTCTTGGCTCCGCCTCTCCACCACATTTGCCTAGTAAATGAATAATACATGACTTATTTTGCACAACAAGGGGTATTTTGCACAATGCTGCTGATTGTCCTGCAGAGTAGAGATACACATGCTGCTGATTGTCCTGCAGAGTAGAGATGGGCACAAACTGAACCATGAACCAGAAGCAGAACACAAACTGGTTCATGGTTCAGTTCTGCCAAAATGGAGCCCTGGACATTTTTGCTGGTTCATGGTTCACTTCTGCCAAAATGGAGCCCTGGACATTTTTCCTCTTGATGCTTTGTTTTTCTTCAGCAAAATAGGGTTCCGGCTCCCCCCCTGCCCCCATCATCTTCTTACCTTGTTTTGAAGCTGCCACCAGCACCTCTGCCACTAGCAGGCCTGGCTCTTTGTATGGAAGCTGGGCCTGCTGCCTGTGCACATGTGCCTTGCCACTCAGCTACCCTGGCATGACTGTGAATTGACTCATTTTTCAGGGGAGTTCATGATAGTTCATGGTTTGTGGTGTGTAGATAGCCATTGACCACGAACTGTCATGAACCACTTGTTTTCCAGTTCAGGCTCATCTCTATGTTAGTGTGGGGCCAATTCCAAAGGCTTGATATGGCGTATTGCCTCTCCTGAAGCTTGGAGTCGGATTCGGATAATGAAGCTTCCAAGAGCACTCTGTTAGGGAAAAACAAGTTACACAGAGCCTCTTATCTGGTAGCTTCAAATCCTCCCCTTAATTAGCAGAGTAAAGACGCGGACATGTGAGAAAATATACATGGTGAGAGTTCTGATATGACTTATAATATTATATATTAGACTTGGTCAGACATATCTACATGGCAACATATACATTGGCATAGAATATCCCAGAGCAGCATGACATTCACATAAATAAAGTAACAACCACCAGACTCACAACTGAGTGGTGAAGTGCTGTTCTCACACTCTTGCTTAAATAGTGAGAGCAGCCTATCACTGTAGACATAGCAGCTGAACATGGTCAACAAGCATTACATCAGCTTGTCCCATCTGAATGCTATAAGTCATCCATTGATTTGATGTTGCAGGCATGGCTTTGCATTCTTACTACAATATTAAATTAAACCCCTTGTTCACTTAAAGGAACAAATCCTGACACTCTGCTCTAGAGCAATCTCTGTACTGTATCTAGAATGGAAATGAGTACGAATAATTCAACTTTTACAAAAATTGCTTGAGCTAAGATGCTCCTACACATTCCAAAACCTTACCCAAGACTGGAAAGTTACTGGAGTGGCAAAGGTTCAAAGAGAGTGGTATCAGCACTCTCTTTATGGGAATGATGGGATGGTACCCTGTTGTAACTGCTATACTGGATCCCTTGACTTGATCCCACCCCTTCACAGAAGAATCCACTGCCACCTCTGCCCTGGCCGGTGCAGCCACTAAAGCTTTAATCATGGTGAATTGTCCACTGCTTTATTCCTCCCATTTATCATTTTCTAAGACTTTTATGTGCAGCATCTCCTCCTATCTTCATCCTTCTCTAAGTTAAATCTTAAACATGACATTGCTCACTAGGATTGTTCTGCCTGCTAATGAATTAGTTTAAAACAAATGAGTTGATTACATCAAGGTAAACAATTTCAGAACCTTTTATGCTCAAATGGCTTGTGGTCCAGGAGTGAGGGGATTCTCCTTGCTGTTCGGAGGTGAGGTAAGGTAAAGGTTCCCCTTGACATTTAGTCCAGTCATGTCCGACTCTAGGGCACCATGCTCATCCCCACCTCCAAGCTGTAGAGACAGCATTTGTCCGTGGCCAGCGCGACTAGACATGGAACGCCGTTACCTTCCCACTGTGGTGGTACCTATTTATCTACTTGCTTTTGCATGCTTTCAAACTGCTGGGTTGGCAGGAGCTGGGACAAGCGATGGGAGCTCACTCCGTTGTGTGGGTTTGATCTTACGACTACTGGTCTTCTGACCTTGCAGCACTGAGGCTTCTGTGGTTTCACCCGCAGCGCCACCATGTCCCACATTTGGAGGTGAGACACAACCCTAAATAGCCTCCAGGCTGCCCCTGCTTTCCTGACATTTAGGTAAGGAACTTGAGATGCTTCCCAGAATTTAGTTGAATTGCTTTTTAAAAAAAAAAAGATTTTGAACATTATGCCAGGGATGAGTCATTAAATGTTATTTTGCTTCTCAGATACTAATACTTATATGGCTGGAATGGACCCAGAACAAAATGTTTCATCCCAAGGTGAATATGTTCCTCACTACCAGCAAGATGAAGACCCTTTTGCATCAAAACTCGCAAAAGAAGCTGATATAGTAGCTGGAGTGTACTTGTTGATGATTGGTAAGATTCACAAATTCTTTCAATAAGTTTGTTGTGTAGTCTCTGGGTATTTACTACTTATACTCACATATGAAAAAAAATTAAACATGCAGGACTCTGGCAGGTGTCTTGTTTAAATATGGTCATGTTGACTGTGCCTGCGTTGTGGGCGTGGTTTGGGCTGTGCTGCTGTGCTCATTCTGCAGTCATAGCTGCTAAGGGCTTGGTTTAAATAAGATGCCAGCTGTGCAGTTATTTGACCCATCTGGTATCACCTCCCATATCCCCCATGTCTGAACACTGTTCCGTTCAGACAAAGGCACATGTTTATTTACTTACTTAGTATAAACATGTATCCCTTGCCATCCAAAAGAGACTTCCAATAAAATACAATGGATAAGCAATACATATAATAACACAGTACACAAAACATACAAAAGCTGATAAGAGAACCAAGGTCTCCATCACTAAAATCAAGCTTACTCTTCAAATGTTGCAACAATGAAAATTACTTTACCTGGCTAAAAAGGGACATTCAAGGAACCACCTTACTTGAGGGAGTTACTCCATACGCAGGATGCCTCCTGTGAGAAAGCCCTTGCCTGGACTACACCCTGCTGCATCTGAAATTGAAAGGACAGGCCAGAATTCACTCATGTGGACATAGGTAGGTAGTCTCAAAGGTACCTTGGCCACAAGCTGTTAAGGGCTTTGAAGATGTGTACCAGGACTATGATTTGAACTTGGAACCAAACTGGGAACCAGTAGTATTCATTCCCAGTGCCCAGTGAGTGTTCTTAGAGGTGTATTTTTCACCTTCTGCACTTTGTGAACCATAAAAATGAAAAGCAGCCTCACATGTCATGCATTACAGTAGTCAATTCTGGAGGTGATGGATAATTGAAGCCAGAATATCTCTGTCCAGGAAAGGTCAAAATTGGTGCAGCAACCGAAAATTGCGAAAGAGGCTTCTTGCCACGGAGGCAACACGCCTCTAGTGACAACGTGGGATCTAGGAGCAACCCCAAGCTGCAGACTTGTTCTTATAGGGGGAGTGCAACCCCTAACCAGAAGCAGTTGAGCATCAGGGTCCTGGACACTTCTGCTATAAGGGGTGAGTAGTATATATATAAAATTTATTCCATAAAAGGAAGAGATGGAGGGAAGTTTAATAAAGAATATATATGAATACTCTTTTATGTATACAACTCTTATCTGAAAAATAAAAAAAATTATGTTTTATACATCTGTAATAGCTATTACAAAATAATACATACGTCATCAAATGCTGATTCAGTATGCTAAAACAATAACTGGTTTTATTTCTTAGTTTAATAAAATCATAGACTCATAGAATTCTGATTCCATTTTCAGTTGGAAGGGATCTTTAAAGGTTATCAAGTCCTAGCCCTTGCTCAATGCAGGAATCTAAATTAAAGCAGATCTGACGGATGGTTATCCAATTTTCTCTTGAATGCCTCCTGCGCTGGAGAGCACACTCCCTCCTGATGTAATTGATTCCTTTGTCAAACTACAGCTAGGAAGTTGTTTTTTTTGTTTTTGTTTTTTAATGATAGTCAAACAAAATCTGACTCTCTATAACTTGAGCCCATTATTACATGTCCTGCCGTCTGGAATGATCAAGAACAGATCCTGCCCCTCCTCTGTATGACAACCTTTCAAATATTTGAAGAGTACTAGAGTAGTCCACCACGACTAGATAGGCGGGATATAAATTAAATAAATAAATAAATAAATAAATACTATCCTGTCTCCCCTCAGTCTTCTTTTCTCAAGGCTAAACATGTCCAGTCCTTTTAGCCTTTCTTCATAAATCTTGGTTTTCAGCCCCATGAGCATCCTTCTTGTCCTCGTCAGAACTTGTTCCAGTTTGTCATTATCCTCGTTAAAATGAGGTGTCCATTACTGGGGACAGTACTCTAGATGAGACCTAAACAGTACCAAATAGAGGGGAACTAGGACTTCACAAAATTTGGAGACAATACTTCTGTTAATGAATTCTAAAATAGCATTTGCCTTTTTTGCAGCCACATTGCACTGCTGGCTCATATTTAGCTTGTGATTAGAACCATGATTGTTCTCGTTTGCAGTACTACTGAGCCTAGTATCTTCCATCTTTTATATGTGTATATATCATGACTATCTCTTTCGCTCAATCTAGCTGCCATCTTGTAAGCCATTGGTGTCAAACTAAATTTCATCTTGGGCCGCATCGGCATTATGGTTGCTCTCATAGAGCCAGTTGTATCTGTAAGACTATATGAATGTATCTACTCTTTATCATATTAGATATAATCTGCCTCATTTGATTATTACTGGTTTTAGTAATAATGTAATAACTAACTCTGAAAGGAAATGTCTAAATAAAATAATAATAAAATAAAGTATGATCGAAGTCTAGAAATAATGGCCAGCAAATATTCAAGTGTACAACTATTGTACAATTTATTGAAAAGTGACTTTAAGTAACTGAAAGATATTTTTAAATAATTAAATATTACCAAGCACTGTTTATTATATTAACTTTGTTTAATTTTTGGTCTCAGTTGAAACAGGGAGAACTATGACAAAACAAATAATTGCTGTGAACAAAAAAAGGTGAACGCGGAAGTCAATCTGCTGTGTCAAGTTGGGGTGTTAACCCCTTTTTTTATTCCGAAGTGCGAGGTATAGATACAAGCACTTTTGGGGTTGTCCCTTTTATCAGCCTGCAATCTGCAGTGGTGCCGTAAAGCACGCCCCCGTAGACACTGTCTGGCCAGGGCACGGGCCCCGTTTGCCATCCACATGTCACTTGCGGCTGTGTAGGGCCAGTCACTGGGGAGTCTGCCATAGATGATCCACTTGCCAGGTGGAGAGCGGCCGGCCTGCAGGGCTGAATGGAAACAAGTGCTGGGTGCTGCTGTGCTGGTTGGACCAAGCAGTGTGCACCCAGTGTAAGCATTAAATTTGTGTGTGTGTTCGTGTGTGTGCGGGTGTGTGTGTGTGCGGGTGTGTGCGGGGTGTTGGCAGCACACATGTGTGTTTTGATCCAGAAACAGAGGCTTCACTCACAGTTCCCAGGTCTCTAATGCGGATGAGCCGGTTTCAGAAACATGAGGTACACAAAAATGGCCACCATGAGCACTCAAGACACCTAACAGTGGTGCCTCGCTAGACAGTTACCCCGCATGATGATTTTCACTAGATGACGATTTTGACAGCTCCCTCTGCCCTCGCAAAACAGGTGTTTTCAGGATCTAAGCTTCGCAAAACAGCTATTTAAACAGCGGATCAGTGGTTCAGCAAAGTTGCTTTCCTATGGCCGATCTTCGCTAGACAACGACGATTCTTCCCCATTGGAACGCATTAAACAGGTTTCAATGCATTCCAATGGGGAAATGCTTTTCGCTAGACAATGATTTCGCTAAACAGCAATTTCAGTGGAACAGATTATCATCATCTAGCGAGGCACCACTGTATCTGCTAATGCTAGCAGTGGCATGTTGTTGCCCATGGGTAAGCAAACCCAGCGTGCAGAGGACAGAGGAGAGAAATGTATACTGTGTACTGCACAGTAGCAGGGTGGCCCTCTGTCCTTGCAACACTACGAGGACCACATGCCACATGTGTTGTAAGCCCCACCCAGAGATAACAATCTGAGTATACTCTGCTGAAACTTTTTATGATGAAACACTTTTGACACTCATAGATGCAACTCAAAACATACTGACACACAATGCGTAGTGTAATTAACATCCCTTAGAACAGTGGTTCTTAACCTTGGGTTACTCAGGTGTTTTCGGACTGCAACTCCCAGAAGCCTTCACCACCAGCTGCGCTGGCTGGAGTTTCTAGGAGTTGCAGTTCAAAAATACCTGAGTAACCAATGTTAAGAACCACTGCCTTAGAACACCAGCTCTTCACTCTTGTTTCCAGAACCCAAAAGTACTTTTTCCATGGTAAAGATAGCATTAAAAGTCTGAGTAGCTATAGGATGGCTTGATCGGTAACTGTAACTCCTCCAAAATAGCCAAAATGTCCCAAAGTCTCTATCATAGAAAGGGAAGAAGTTCATTACAGTAAATTGAGATTTTCTTCTTGTAATTATTTTCAAATGACCACTTTAAATTTGCTATCTAGTTCCTGGTTTTACTGGTCTTTACAGAGAGGTCCAACTCTATCCTTGTTGCTTTAGTTACTTTACTCGGTAACTCATTGTGCTTCTTGATTAAAGAGGCAATTATATCGGCCACAATTTACTTTGGTTTGGGTGCTGATGATTCAACAAATTAAAGCCCATGGGAAAGCCCATTGTGGCATTGTCTTTTATGAGTGGAGAACTGTCTTCTTCTTCTTCTTCTTCTTCTTCTTCTTCTTCTTCTTCTTCTTCTTCTTCTTCTTCCACCAGCTGTGGTTTAAATTTGTTGCCACCAGTTTGACATAACTTTAATCTGCTTCCTGTCAGTGTGATCACTTCATCCAAAGCAAAGGACACTCGTTGGAATATCTGTTCTCCTCAAGCAAGTGCCCTTTGTCTCCAAAGTGTTCCTTTTCCTTTCTTTTCTGCTCTGCTCTGGAGCAGGCATTTTCTAGAGCAGTGGTCCCCAACCTTGGGCCTCCAGATGTTCTTGGATTACAACTCCCAGAAGCCTACACCACCACCTCTTCTGGCCAGGATTTCTGGGAGTTGAAGTCCAAGAATATCTGGAGGCCCAAGGTTGGGGACCACTGTTCTAGAGCACTGAGGAGACCAATGAAAAGAGAGAGGGAGAGGTGGAAATTGCCAATCAGCACTTGTCAAGTCAGCTTCTGCTCTTGGGGCTGAATGCAAACTGAACTCTCTGCTTCTGCTATCTCCTGAAGGTTTGGATAGCTACAGAAAATTCACCTGGGGAAACCTGATTTCTACATAGCCAAACCACAGGAGATCAATCTGTATTTTTCCTGCTGTGTAGTCAGACCTTAAATGACACAACCCTTTGCAAGTCCTGAAAAGAAAGGGAAATTAAAAGAAGAGCAGAAGTGGGATATCTTTTTCAGAGCTTGGAATAAAATGTATTTTTAAAAAAATAATTAGGTTAATTTATTAACTTTTAACCAATTACAGCTAAATACTATTAATGTGGTGATGGAATAAAATCATAATAAGCTTAACTCACTATGTTAATAGTGTTTGTTGATCTGTTTTGCCAGAGATGCAACTAGCCGTGAAGGCACAGAAAGAGTATGAGCCTTGTCCAAGAGAAGGAGTGCTAATCCTGGTGGCAGCAGTAGCAGCAGCAGCAGCAGCTGGAGTGGACAGGGGCAGGGCTAAAGCTTGGAGTGGCACAGTGCCTCATGTGAATAGCCAAAAACAGAGTGGAGTGAGCATACATAGTGGAGCTGTGTGGAGGTGTAAGAGGGGAGGCAGGGTCAGTGGCAAACAAAATGTGTCAACTGGAAGAATAAGGGTGGAGGGATTTACTGAAGATATCACTCAGCTTTTACAAACAGGGCTGCATTAATGCAAGGGGTAAATGAATATTTCTCTTTTGTTCTCTCTTCCTTTCTCTCTCTATGTGCCCCTGTGTAGTGGTGCTAGATTTCCATTTTTAACCATGCTTCTTGACTCTTAAGTGACACGGGTAGCAGAAGATGCAGCTTTGCAGTAGTGCAGAAAATCATTCTGCTGGTTGTGTGTGGGTGCATGTTGAGTGGTTCAGTAGAGCCCTGCAATCAGGCATACCTTGGCACCTCATAAGATTGCCACAGCAGCTTCTGCACTTTGAACTCTGCATGTTTAAATATTGAACATGATAATGGCATATATGTTTAACTTAGGCCAGAATCCTGTTTATGAGTCTGAATGCAGAAGGACAGTCACCTAAGCTTACCGCCTCTTCAGCATGCTCTCCTGTGTGTGACATAGTTACACAAAAGATTGCATAAGAGTTAGCCTGCTGGCAAGGTAAACTACAGTACAACTACCTTTGTGTGCATGGCATTTGTTAACAGGCTTTTGGACAAACCGTGTAATTTAATGAATTTTTTAAAAACTGTACTCAGTTATTCTATAATCTAATCTCCAAAATAAGGAGGTCTTGGGGCTGTCAAACTAAATTTTTAATGAAT